GGACTTCCACCAGTTCGCCGACTGCCGACGGACTTCCACCGGTTCGCCGATCGCCTTCGGACTTCCTCCAGTTCGTCGATCGCCGCCGGACTTCTTCCAGTTCGTCGAACATCTCTAAACTTCTACCAGTCCGCCGAACACCATTAGACTTCATCCAGTCAGCCGACCGCCTCCAGACTTCTGCCAGTCCTCCAACCATCGTTGGACTTCTGCCAATCCGCCGACCATTGTCAGACCCTAAACCCTAAACCATCGCCGTACTTCTGCTCATCCGCCGATCATTGTTGGAATTCTTCCCGACCACAGCCGGAGTTCTTTTCGGCCACCGGCGGACATCCGCCAATTTGCTGAACACCGCAAGACTTCCGCCAATCTACCAATTATAGTCCTCCCAACCACTGTCATTCGATTACGGTCATCCTGACCTCCGTTGCATGTTGATTACAATCTTTCGGACCTCCGTCGTCCGACTACTACGGTCCTCCCGACTTTCGTCGCCCGATCCTTCTGACCTCCATCATCTGCCGACAAATGGTCCTTCTGACCCCCGTCTCCCGTCAACTACGATCCTCTCGACCTCCGTCGCCATACAACGGTCCTTCTGACCTATATCACTCGCCGACTATGGTTTTATCGCCCCAAATAAACATGCCAACACTGATTCTTCTAACTTTCATCGTGTAATATACTATGTATGATGTATACTTGTCACATCAAGCTAAGACCTTCCTCTTAAGGAATGGCCTCATTTGTAATGGGCTGCAAACACTAATGGATTCATTTAGATTGGGCCAGACCATGTGGTTTTTCCCCCTTTTCAGGGGTTTCCACGTAAAAACTATGGTGTCTCTTACGAACTTTACACCCTCATCTCTTTAATCTGCTTGTGTTCTTGATCTTCGTACAAAGCTAAGTCATTAATCTTTATATTTCTCTACCGCCGCGAATTTTCCAGGATGCAACAATTTTATAATTATTTATTTTAAACGTTTGATTTCAGCTAATTGGATTATAAATCATCTTGGAATTGTAAAATATATTTATTTTTATTGATAAATTCCTTCTAAATTTTTTTAAAACGGTAAGAAAAAATTCTCACTTAATTTCCCTCCGCATAACCAAATAAAAAATATTTTCATTCAATTTCTCCGTAATAAAATAAGCTGTTCAAAACGAATTTCCCCTTTCAATTCTTTCAAACCAAACAAATCCTTAGGGATCGTTGTTTGGTTGAAAAAGAAATTTGAAGTATAATAGAATGAAAAAATATTTATTTTTTCAGTGATGAAAATGAGTTTATAAATAAAGTAAATAAAGTATCATACTAATTTCTTTTGAATCAAATTACATTATGATCAATAGTTCATCAAAAATTTTATTCGATTAAATATGGATATTGACTTAATTTCTAAAAAAAAATTATTAGGTGCGGAGTGCAGACGGGGTGAGAACCGTCTGCACAGACACAGGGTACCGAGCGGTACCCAGTGGTACCGAGTGGTACCGAACGGTACCGAGCGCGGTTTTATACTAGTGTGCGGACGGTTCTCTCGTCCGCACTCCGCACCTAATAATTTCTCATTTCTAAATCTCAAATCATTCAAATATTTAATTCAGAAGGCTTCGAGGGCCATCTGAACTTTGCATTTAGCAAAAACTAGAGTCAAAACGAGCATCTTAACGAGATGAATTCAAAAGTATCAGGACAGTCTTCATCTGAGTACATATGGACTTAATGAAAATTTTATGAAGCATAGTTTGAAACTTCATAATATACGCAGCTCACCTTGGCCTATTGTTTGATGGCTTCGACTACCAATCAAGAGGTCTTGAATTCCAGACTTTTTTTTGTCTATTGTAACATATATCTTCTCATCTCTATGTGTATAGAATTTATGTGTAACATAGAGATGATAATATTATCCTTTACTAACGTAACTATTTTATCATAAACTAATTTGGTGCCATATACAAGCACAAAATTATCCCACTTGCTGAGTTATTTGAACCCTTACCAAAAAACTAGTCAATTTCGGTTCACGGGTCGGATTCGGGTCGAATCTGGAACTGACCCGGGTTCAAACGGGTCGACCTAACCCGACCCGGGTAGACAAACGGGTCGGAAATTCGAACCCAAACCCGACCCGGCGGGTTGCCTGGTTGACCCGACCCGACCCGGTTTTGGGTTCTGCCGGCGCAGAAACGGCGGCGGATGGACGCTCGCTGGGCAGCGCAGCAGCGGGCGCGGGCGTGCTGGGGCCTGGGCAGCAGGCGCGGGCGGGCAGCGGCGGGGTTCAAAATTTTTTGACAACCAAGATTTTTCGGGTCGGGTCCGAGTCGGGTTTTCGTGTTGTGTCAAATATTGACACCCCTACCAAAAACCATGAACACTTACAATAATGGAGCTTCTTTCTTCAGGTTTTATAGCTCGACGAACTAATCATTCAATTAGCTACATCCAACTATATTTCTCTCAAGCTCAACTAGTTTAACCTCGTAGGTGAAGACCCATCTTTTCCGTCTTTAAAAAAGAGCATTTGTAAGAAAGAATTTCAAGATAAAAAACCTTTTGCTTTTTATATGAGATAAGCTAGCTAGTGCATGTTGAGGTTTGCTAAGTTGAGGGCATTTCATATAGCACATGATAATTGTCAAAATCGACTATGCCTCTTATAATTAATGATGGTATACATGACCTAATCAGCTCAACTAACATACTCCTAGGCTTGCAACACTTCATTTGCAAAAATAAAATAAAAAATTTACTTTTCCTCTTTTCCATGGTGTCCCTTGCAACACCTATCATGATGAACTCTTATGATCTATTTAGAAAGAGTTCTTTTATAGGAATTTGAATTTTGAATATAACCATATTCTCCTATAAACTTTTAAGAGTCATCTTCCCTCCTTATCACTATTAATTTGTGATACCCTATTATAACAATGTTTAAACTGCTAATTGTAGACTCTTGTGATGGGCTGTTTGACCCTTATGCAGATCCTTTAGTAGAGCTTGGTGAACGAAAATGATGTTGCTGACAGATTGGTAAGTTTATGCAATTGCATTGTTAGAGTGGATGAGTTTGAAAGAAACTACAAGAGAAGACATATTTTTTTGGCAAAAAATTTGACATAATATGTTAAGATTAAAGGAAAATGTAAGAATTTACTCTTTTTTTTTTGTTTGTAAAATATAGGATATGCCTTATTATTAATATGCTATTTTTGGTTTATTTAATCTCTCTAAATATATAACATATAAGATAAGAGGTATCATAAGGACTAATTTCAATTCTTTTTCTATCATGCAATAAGATTGTTTGATGATTTTTTATATGTGATTTCAGAGTTTTGATATAATAATCTCTTATATATGATCTATAAATCTAATTCACTATTTCTTTGAAATACCAATGGTTTTTTTTTTAATAAATTTTGTAGAGAATTTTTTACTTATTGTCATAACTCTATAAAGGAGGAAAGAGAATTTTTGAGCCATGTGGCTCAACTGGCTTGGGGCATATGTTGATCGATATATGCAAATATCGGGAGATGCCTATATGTATTGGAGAGGGATAATTGGTAAACCTATGCAATATGCATAACTTGGGAAAGCTCAAATTAAGCCCAAAATAGGAGAAATTATTACGTGCGAATACCGGATGTAGAGCTATGTCCGAACTCCAATAAAAAATATAACGTATTAGCCAATATATTACTAGATATTACTGCGTATTATATATATTGATGTGTATTAGTTAGTACATAGCAATACACAATTAATATATACCAATACACAACAATATACAATAATTTACTGATTGTCAGAACAATACACATATAAATAAACAGTAATACATAGTAATACTTTATCCATGCATCATTGGAGTATGGACATAGCTTCTACGTCCAATGCCCGCACATAATAATTTATCGCAAAATAAAGACTAGAACAAACAAAAATGGGTAAATAACTATTGGGTATGGGCAAATCCTTTCATATTGGATCAAAATTTATTCATAGGTAAAAATCACAGCTTTGCTAGCGATGGATCAATACAGAAATAAAAATATAAGAGAGCAAGGTAATGTACAAATAGGAGTTTTTGCATTTTATTAGATTGTTATAAAGTACAAAATTTTTATAAATGATTGGATATGCTCAGGATATGTTGAGCATATCATCAAATTCTCTATTTATAGATTTGAATCAAAACACAATGGCACATGAAAGATTACATTTGATTAATAAAAAATAAATTAAATTATATAGTAATGCCTAATAAATATTTAATGTAAAATAAATTAATTTAATTAGCACATAAATAAAGATATTGAATAAGAATAAAAAAATTAATTTGATAAAGTCTTTGGCTTTGTTAGTGACAATTTTTTTACTATTTTTTAGTACGAAATTTATAATTCATAAAAAAAATTTTTTTGTTCAACAAAATTGTTTTAAAAATCAATAAAAAAGCACAATCCCAAATAAAACTTTTGTTTGAGATAACTTTATTATTGATTTTACACTACCTTTTAAGTATAATTTTTTTAAAAATAGAAAAAAAAAACTCTTCCAAATAAATCGAAGTTTTTAAGGCTTTGTTTGGGACTGTTTTCTTGCTACTTCTTAAAGCAGTTTTTTAATATAAAATTTTTAATTTTTGTATTAAAAAATTACTTTAAGAAACAGTAAAAAAATCATACCAAACGAAACCTAAGAGTCCAATCGATTTGCTTAGGACTTTGTAGGTGTAAAATACTACGGTGAGTCGGTGACCCATCGAGGCTGAACGAGCAAATCGAAATGTTGGTGAGGGCGGGAAGGCAAACTCGGGGGTAGTTTCGGCCTTTACCGTTGCTATAAATAGCATGGGAGAGAGGAGTGAAACAGAGTCAGTGATCGCCAAAAATAGTAAAGGGAGGTGTTCACGAAAGCTAGCACAACCCTCTGAGACGTAAGTCACAGTGCGGGGGCGACCGTGTGTGACCGTGAGCCGTTGAGGTCGTTTCGCTCTGCTCTCGCTGTTCGCGTGACCTTCGAGCAAATTTTTATTACCTTTTTTTTTTTAATTATTGTAATAATCTGCCATTGAGATTTATACCCATCCACATCCTTTCTCAATCACCCTACACGATAATTTGGTTGGAGGTGGAAGAAAGGTGAGCGACCTGCTACCGAGCAAGCGAACGAGAAGAAGTTTCAGGATCAAGGTAAGACGGAACGGTTTGGGAGAGGTTGGGATTTGAATATTTTGCTTGGATTATTGAATTTTTAGATTGTGGTTTGCTGGATTTGATTTTACTGAGATTAATCGATTGAGTTTTATCTGTGTGAGTGTTTAATTGGGATGAAGATTTGCGTAGATTTTTGTGGTTGCTTCGTTAAAGATTCTGTTGAATAAGCTTAGATTATGCGCGCCTTTTGATTTCGTTAATGCTGTCTAGTTTTGATCATCGTTTGCAAAAGATGAATATCTGATGCACTTATTTTTCGAGATGATTTTGTTTAGTTTATGGTGATTTTGTTATGTACGGTTGATTTCTTGAATTCAAGCTAAAAATTTGCTGAATTTCTATTTCTGTATAACTCCGCTCCGTTCTCTCGCCTCTCATCTCCGTATGTCCAGATCTGTAAAATTTCCTGAAATACCTCTCTTATAAGTTATTAAGCCGTCCTTGAAATTCAATTCATTCCTTCCACCAGAGATGGATAGAGAAAAGAAAAGGAGAGAAAGATGTAGATTGCCGGGGAAGGATCGGGTGGCCAAGAAAGGGAAGCTGACTGCTACGGAGATCCCGGACCTTTTCTCCGACGACAGTGGCGATTTTTTACAAAATCCAGACACTTATCGTCCGCTAGGTGTGTTCGAATTCCCATGGCAGAACGACACAGGAGCTCTAGCTCCCGAATTGGACGGCTGCAGCCTCCGCGACGTGTTCTTCTCGTCCCTCGTAGACGGCATCTCACCGACGAGGCTGTCGCCGATCACCATCCCAGGAGAGGCCGATGAATCCCCACTGTCTGATGTCGACGCCGACGGTGTCGACTGCATCTGGAGTTGCGCCCTGCGCCAGCCGCTTTCCGCCGTGTACTGCAAGACCTCCGGCGCATGAAAATGTATTTTCTCCTGCAACCACTTCTTCCATTTTTTTTTCTTTCTGTTTCTCTTAGATTTTCCAGAAAGTTTCGATGCCATCCTAAACGGAAGCTGAGCATAAAGTCTGATCTTTATACCAAAACTAAATGCTTCATATAATATATTGACACAAAATTTAATATCATTTTCATTTTAGTTTTGATTCCTTCTCATGATCTCATTGTAGATTTTCAAAAGCCTTGAAAAAAAAAAATCAAAATAGTGAGTTCATAATGGCTGCTATTGAAAAACTGGTTTATGAAACAATTTTTAAATTTTGTTAAAAGACAGTTTTTTAAAGACAAATTTTGTGAAAAGCATTTTGACAGTTGTTAGTTAAACAGAGTGTTGATGCTCTGCGATAATCTTCTGCTATCATAAAACAGCTAAAAAGCGTTCCTAAGCATTTGTACAAAGATTCAGATTTTTTTTTTGGACAGTTTTCTTTCTACTTTTTAAAACATATTTTATGTACAAAGATTAAGAAATAATAAAAATATATCATAATTTTTATATTAAGAAAATAAAAAATTATAGGACCTGATCCTATTAAAACAATTCAACTAGTATATATTATTAGTTATAAATGATGTATATTCCCGTAATTAGAATAGCTGTTGAAATATTATAGTACATATGATTTATGAGAATGAATTCTGTGATGAAAGACGAATGAGACTTGAGATATTAGGGTTATCTTTGAGAAATATTTTGTCGAATTTCAATTGTTCTCCTTGAAGGAGAGAAGGCTAGAATCCAAGAAGATTAGTATAAATCCTAACATTGACATCGGGAGTTTGAGTTGATATCTAATGTGTCATGTGAGTGTATCCCTTATTATAGATGGTGTGCATCTACATTATTAGCGAAAAAGTCAATGGGCATGACATTGGTGTCGATGACATGCATTAACATTAAAAACAATGTAGCTGTAAACATGGTTGTCAATGATAGACAATGAAGTTAGCATGTGAGTGTTTGTGTCGATATAATGCATTGCTCTTATAGGCGATGATGTGCATTGATGTTATTGGCGATGATAAAAGAGGACATTGATATCAAATGTGTGTATATGTCTTATTGGCGATGATGTGCATCAATGTTATTAGTGATAAAGTCAGTGGGCGTTGAAATTGGTGTCAGTGGGCATTGAAATTGGTGTCGAAGGCATGCATCAACATTAAAAGTGATGGAGTGTGTAAACAATGTTGGCTATGATAGACAATGAAGTTAGTATGTTGGTGTTTATGTCGATAGCATGCATTGCTTTTATAGGCGAATTCATTAGAGCAAGTTCTTTGGACAGATACTTTGGGTTGAATTCTTTTGACCCAAAATGATAAGACTGAGGTTCGAGTCAAGGCTAGCTTTTAAGTGCCTTGTCTAGATATATTTTTGAACAAATTAAAGGTTGAATTTGGATGTTGTCTTACTGAACAAGTTCTAAGTTGTAAGCGGTTTAAGTTAGTTATAAGTGAACGGCTTCTTAGCCCCCGTCTAGGTTCAAATTATGACTTGATTAATTAAACCTAGAAAAATAATTGTATAATAATGGCATTAATAAAGGGAGAAGCAAACTTAGACTTCATTTGGGATCGATGACTTTCTTATTGTTTTTTAAAATGGCTATCTATTACAAATATAAAAAATTTAGTAAAAAAATTTGTACTAGAAAGCCGCTTTAAGAAGCAGTAAGAAAGCCGTCTCAAATGAAGTCTTAGTTGGGATAGCTTTTTTACTGCTTTCTAAAACGACTTTTTAGTACAAAAATTTATAATTCAAGAAAATTTTTATACTAGAAAATTTTCTTAGAAAACTGCAAAAAAATAATCCTAAAAGAAGTCTAATAACCCCATGAAACTGTGTATTTAAGCTCATATTTTTATACTAACAATCAAGACGATTTTTTAGGCTATGGGCAGCACGGAGTGCATTAGTCTAAATTTGTATTCAATTGAATGAATATTGTTAACCTTTGCAACACCCAAATAATGCTTTAATGATGGCACCACTTCTTTAATTTTTTTAGCAAGTTCGCAGCAAATGAAGTGGTGAGGAAAAGGGTTGGTTATGAGGTTTTGCTTGGCGGTTGGGCTCTATCACTATCAGTAAGCTTTTTTTATTTAGAAAATTTTGATCCATCGAGCAAACATATCAATTCGAATGGCCAAGAAAACCGACCTTTCTTTTCCATTGCATCATTGAGCTAGCAGATGGAACAATCTTTGATTGATGGAATTTAATAGAAATGTTTAATTAGGGTCTATTTGGGACTAACTTTTTGATTCTTTTATTTTTTAAGTAGCAATTATAATTTTGTTTGGCTTTTACTTTCTATTTACTTTATCACTGCTTTTTAGAAATTTCAGAGGTGAAAAGCTTTCTACAACTATAATAGCTAAGCAGTTTTCCTATAGCAACATCACAATCAACTTTATAAAATGCTGTAGTCGTCCCAAACAAACACTTAATATAACATATCTCTCATATATATAATGAGGGTGAAAGCTATTATTATAATGACAAAAATTATGTAATTACCCTGTGCTTGCACTTTTGATCTAGAAATTGTGTTTATTCTTGCTTTCAAAATCTTAGTATTTCCAAGGCAATGAAAAATGGACCAGACAACAAATGAGAAGATAAAGACGTTAAGGGTTCGATGGTTCGACCAGCGTCAAATCAGATGATGTAATAAATACTTATTATATTTAAATATTATAATAATGACACAATCATTTATAAATATATAAAAAAATTGAACAAAATTCTAATATGAAGCATAAAAAAATAATAAATAAATTCATTAAATTTAAAAATAAATATATTTTTGTTTCGAGGAGCTGACATTTTTGTAGTCATAACTTAAAAGATGAACTTGAAATTTCTCTTCAGATCTTATAGTTTCTACCTCCAATTGATGAAGCTCTAGAAATAAAATAAACATAAGATAGTTATTATAATCGCACACCTAACATATAGTAAACAAGTAAAACATATTAATACATTTCATTTGAAGACACCGCCTATTATAGAAAGATTTTGATATTTTATACTAACTAATAACCAAAAAAGAAAGTATATTCATGATACAGAGATGAAGTTAACAATGTTTCTCTTTCTAAGTTCAATAGTTCCAATAAATTCACAAGGGGAAATTCAAATATCTCCTAAATTTGCATCATCAAAGTTATCCTCATAAGTTAAGTCTCCAAATCTCACTACAGAAAAATCCATTGACCCAAACCAGGGCGGAACCATAGAAAATAATTAAATATTAGAAATTATTTAATTATTAAAAATTATATATATAATATTATAAAAAGTTGTTTGAAAAAGTTTTTTTAGCTTCCAAATGCAAACAAAAAGTCTGAACAAAGATTAAAAAAGTTTTTTTTTTCAGCTTTCAAAAAGTATTTCTAAATAAAAGTTGCTCCATAGAAAAATGAGCTTTCATTACTACTAGGGGTGTTAATTCGGGTCAGCGGGTTGAGTTCGGGTCGAACTCGGAACTGACCCGGCACTGTTCGGGTCAACCCGAACCCGACCCGTTTTTAAAAACGGGTAAGGTTTCCGGACCCGAACCTGACCCGTTTTTAAAAACGGGTCAGGTTTCCGGACCCGAACCCGAGCCGATTCTGGTCCGGGTCAACCCGACCCGATACAAATGACCCAAAGTTGACCTAAAATTGCTAATTTTCGAGTAAAAAATCGGGTCAATATTCGATTTTCGGGTCAAAATCGGGTAAAACATGGGTCAATCTCGGGTTTTCGGGTCAAATATGATTTTTCGGGTCAATTTCGGGTTGCTGGGTCAACCCGATCCCGACCCGATTTTTAAAACGGGTTGATTTGTTCAACCCGAACCCGACCCGTTTCGGGTTCGGGTTGACCCGAACCCAGATTTTTTCGGATCGGGTTCGAGTCGTGTTTCGGGTCGTGTCAAAAATTAACACCCCTAATTACTACCTATTTTCACATCAATTCAAAAATAGAGAATACATGCATTGGGAGAAGATAAATCAGAAAAATATAATATATGATAGAGATGAATTAAGTTGTTAGAATCATATGGTTCAAATGTAAAGTGGACTGAAACAACCACACGTAGGGGCAAAAAGGCTTTTGAAGGGGAAAATTGATTTTTTAGGAGGGGAAAAAAAGATTTTTTTACTCTTCTATAAGTTTTTTTTTAAATTGGGGGGTGGGATCTCATTCTTTCTCTAATTCACCTTCACTAAAATAAATACAAAATATAAAATAAGACTTCAATTTTTTAAAATGATATAATTTGTTCTTCAACAATTGATATTGCATCTTCTTTATATATCTCATTTTTCAACTTCTCTAAATCAAGTTTTGACAGTGTTTCATCAACTACTCTACCCAAAATTGTACAATTTCAACACAAGTGTAATCTAAAGGATCATAACTTTTTTTTTATAAGTTGAAACCTAAAAAAATAAAAAAATCACTTTAGTATGACATTTATACATACATATAGTAATAACATATTTACATACATATTAATATGGTATAAGATTATACACATTCTTTAAATTGAGATTATACTGAATATATATTAGATTGTTGAGCCGTTGATGTTGTGGATGGAGAAATAAACCACACAACAAAATAAATAAGAAAAAATAGAATGCAGCAAAAAGTAAAGGACACCGGAATTTAACGTTGAAAAAATCAAAATCAGGACAAAACTACGGGAGCCGCAACATAAGAAGAAATCCACTATAAATGGGAAAAAATAAGTGTAGATCTCACTTCTCTCTCCCTATATCATTACTTTTATTCTATTTTACAACATTCTCGCACTAAACAAATGATAAAAGCACGTATACACCACATGGGACGTCACTCTTGAGAAAAAAAAGAGAGAAAAAAAGTTCAATCTGGCTTGAAGCGTTGCAGTGTCATTTTGGATCACTGCATCACTCAACACTCTATCTACAATATGCTAATAGCATTGCGACATTGAATTTAGAACAATATTGCACTCTTCTATCTTTCTTTTCCCCTAGATACCTTTGCAGCGCTAGGACTCTTGGTTACAAAGGTTCAGGGTGTATGCACCCAAACCCATGCAAGGGGAGGGCCTCATGTACCCCCTAGTAAGCAAGATAAATTAAC